TTATTTTATTTTTTCAATGTTTACATTTTAATCACTAAAAATTATATCAATGCATCTTGATTACATGTGTGACAAATTTCAGATGGAAGAAGTTGGTTAAAAAAAAAAGTTCGACTTCTTCATGATTGGCTTCAGTGATTGGTGTGCACACTTGAATACCGGCGCTCTCTCTCCTTCTTCCCTGTGTTTACCGTTCCCACTCATCGTGCTTTCCACCCTCTTCCTGACTTTTGAGCTTTATCCAGGGGAAATTGCTGCCCTTTGGCTCTCATATGATTGGTTATTCAAATGAGTGCAGGCCTCCTGATGCTATTGTTCACTATATAGCCACTATATAGCTCACTATGTAGCCTTTGGCTGAGAGTTGAGCCACAGGGAGAGTGCAGTTCCAAACTTGAAGAGTGACATAGGGCCATCGTCTCTGGAGTTCTACCAGTCTCTTAACAGACCAGTGGACCTGGTGTTTCTTAGGAGTTTAAGTCCACATTTTCCTTCCACTCTACTCAGGACTTCCTGTTGTAATCACTTTCAGAGGCAGCAACAGTGGCAGCTGGGCACCACCTAGTTCTGGTCTCAGGGTGATGGAGGCTGGGGCTCATGTGGTCTATTCATCCTTTGGACGAATTGCTTATTTGCACCTTTGACTTCTGACTCTTCTTTGCTCCAGAGGAGACTAATATTTTCACCTTAGATGGACTGTTCACAAGCTTTGAAAGTAAGATGTAGACGATGTTCTTTGTCTTATGTCAATTGACCACACTGTCTCTCAAGACTTAGTACCTCTGAGCCCCGAGGTCCAGCGACTCATTCCCTCAAAGTGCTTGGCTCTATCTAAGAAGTTTTCAAAACTTTGCCTCCATGTTGTTGTTGTTATTTTCCATTGCATTGATTCTGACTCATAACAACCTGAAGTACAACAGAAGTAAAGAGTGCCTGGTCCTGTCCCATCCTTTAAAAGGATCTTATGTTTAAGCCCATGGTTACAGTCACTTTGCCAATCCATCTCATTGAGGATCTTCCTCTTTTTTGCTCACCCTCTTACTTTACCAAGCATGATGTTCTTCTCCAGGGACTGGCCTCTCCTGGTGACAGGCCCAAAGGACTGAGACCTCTAAAGGACTTGCTTTAAGGAGAAGTCTGGCTGTACTTCTTCAAAGACAGATGAGTCTGTTCTTTTGGCAGGCCATGGTATCTTCAGTATCTTCGGTACCTGCACCATCATTCAAATGCATCAGTTCTGCTGTGGTCTTCTTTAGCCACTGTCCAGCTTGCACATGCATGCGAGGTGCCTTAAAATATCACGGCTTGGGTCAAGTGCCCTGACTCCTTAGAGCAACGTCTTTGTGCTTTAGCATGTTCAAGAGGTCTTGTTCAGCAGATTTGC